TATTCTCTATTAGTTTTCCACAAGGGAGTTAACGGTGGTGGAAACAACCAGACATTTCTTTTCTGTCTTGCATGTAATGCTGTTAAAAAAGCAAGTGTAACCCTAGGGCGAAGTTATACTCCTAGCCCAAGGTTGATTGCACATGTGGTGATAGATTCACGCTGATCGGGGTTTTGCTCGTCTATCAAGATATGCGCTGGATGCCATGACAAACAAACAGTGGGGAGCAATCATATGGCTAGCTCTCAATGATTATAAAAGTATGAAAGAAAAGGCCTTGGGATTAAATTTGTACTTCTCTGAGAGTGCTTGAATGGGACCTCTGCAGAAATCATTTAGGCTTTCTTCTTCTGCAGGAGATGGACTAAAATTCAGGTTGGCTGAGTATCACCTGCTGTAAGATAGGGAGCTGCTTGCCTAGGGAAAATCACTGTCCTGTTTCTGAATCTGCAGAGCATAGCTTGGGTCATAATTCGTTTCAGTGGGGAGATCTTTGCACAGTCTATATAACTAACCCAGACACGGTGCTTCCATACTACTGCTTCACCAGCTGGTCAGTAGCAGGAAGTACCATCTCGGCAGAGACCCCAGCACGATCATTTCTCAGGAACTGATACCCACCAAATCTCAGGAAGCTGCATTTGCTATTTCATAATTTGGTCTGAATGGCTGATCTCAGGTGGAGCTTTTCTCTTGGTGCCATGACCACTTTGGGTAGTTTCATGTTCCAGTCTTTGCATCACAGTTTTCCCAAGAGACATAGTCACAGCACAGTTGAGGTTGACAGGCATCTCAGGAGATGGTCTGCTCCAGCTCCTCTGCTCCCACAGGATCACTCAGAGCAGGTTGCCCAGTCAGGTTTTAAACATCTGCAAGGCTGGAGACTCTGCAGCCTCTCTGGGAACACAAGACCCTGCAGATCTGGTAGGATCCCTTAACAACCCTGCTTGCTTGAGGGTGAAGAGGAACCTGAAAGTCTGGTTTAATGCTGGAGAGTTTGTGGCAGCTGTGTGAGCTCTCTGCCAATGTGGTGCCTTTGGCCTGACTCTGTAACTGGAATCTGCTGCCCTGAAGCTGTATATCCAGCAAGGCTTGCAATTGCAGCTAGAGCTGGCCTGAGCAGGGAATTCTTAATTGCTCAGCAGAAGTGAATAAAATTATTAGGAAAAGCTCACTACCAAACCTTTATCCTGACTCATGGATGGCAATCAAAGTATTGGTTGTTGCTGGCACAAATACTTCCTAGATTCCTCCTTACTTAGTGTCTAGGTGAATGATTCCATCCCTTACAGATCCCCCAAGGCACTGGATTCAATTCTGGGTGCAACAAATATATATATATTTTTTTAGGTGAAGCTCTAAGCTAAAAAAACAACAACAAAAAATACTATCTCTTTTTGAACAAAGTCTTGATTTTTTTTCTTTCTTTCTACTCTTGTAAGTCTAGTTAGTGAGCTAACCTGTTTTCTCTAGGTTGCAGTATAGCAGTGGGTTTATCACTCCCTTTGGAAGAATCAAGGATCTTTATAAATCCCTTGCTTTTCTTCAAAATTGCTTGATTTGTCTTTCCAGAATTAGGACTCTCTTTTCCAACAGCACATATCTTAACGTTAATTTATTTTATTGTATATTACAAGACACAAAGTTATAACATTGTGTATTCTACAAGCTTACAGCTTCATCATATTGTTCCTCCGTGTTCTGTAATCTAATATACTTGTGTCATCAATGCTATAGGAGGTTCAGAGTAGAGAAGAAAATATCTCCCTTGCCTCAATGTTTCTAGCACATAGCATACAATTGCTAATTCTTCATATTAGTTTGACTCTACACTAAGCCTCCTGTGGAATTAAGAAGGTCATATAGACAAAAATCTGATGTATTCCTTTTCTTCTACAGAGTGAAAAGATTTTGCCAGTAGGTTGGATTCAAATTGCCTCAAGGTTGTTTCCTCCCTGTGCTCCTTTCCTTCAGAAATGTCCCTAAAATAGAATTAGCTGAATGCAGTAAGATTTTCTTCTTTAAGGTGAGGAGAGATTTCTGAATAATTTTTAAGTCAGCCAAGTTCTTCAATACACTTAACATGAAGGCAACATGGGCATTTGTGGCAAAATATTTTAGGTAGTGGTACACTTTGGAGTCGTGAAAGAGGAGCAATAGCACAGAAATGCATTTCACTGGTATAATCAAAGAGTTCATCTTATGAAAACACCCTGGTTTTCCCTTTCTGCTCTGGAAACACAATGTTTTAAAATAATTGATGGGCTTCTTTGACAGTGTTTGAGATTTCTCCTGTGTTGGCAATGCTGAGTATTGCCACTGCTTTTTAATATCTTGACCTACATGATAGTCCAGTTAAAACACTTGCTTAAAAGCCTGAATAGGCCTTATAAGAGCAAAATGATTAATGCTTTTAAAAACTGTTTCATTCTTTCTTTTTTTTTGCAAATGAGTGAACTAACTGTAGGTGTGTTGAGCAGTAATACTAACTAATAAATGTATTCAAAGCCACGAATCTGTGAATCAGCCCTTAATTTTACTCTTTCCATAACACAAAAGGAGTTTGAGTATCCCATTACGTAATAGGTTCATCAGGCTGCTTTGGGATCTAACCCTTTCCCATGAGCAGTTGACAGCTGCTGCTCCCTAGCATTTTAGCAGGATTGTTTAATGCTGGCCTATCTGTTCTTTTGCTGCCACTTTTACTCTTCACATAATTCCTTCTCTTTGAAAGAAAGAGCTGCTTTTGAAATTGTCATGACCTCGTTGCAGAAGCAAGCATTAGAGCAAATGGCCCAGAGGAAGAAAATAAAGCAAGCTCATACAGTTAAAAGAACGGTAGAATCTAGCAAGTTTTATCAACTAGAAGTCAATTTTTGAAATGCTTATTGCAGAGCCACATCTATTTAGTTGCTTCTGTTCCCTACAAACACTGAAACTGTGGTCTTTGAGAAGAAATGTCACAACAAGGATAGTTGTGGTGCTTAAGTGTTGGCTTCAAATGGGCCTCAAAGTGCCAATGGACAGGCTGGACAACCTGAAGAGGAAAAATTTAGGCTGAAAGTACCAGAATAATTAATTTGGGAATCCTTGTTCCCTGCCGTTCTTAGTTAACTGGCAGTGTCTAGAGCTTTAGATAGTTCACACTAGACAGACTGGGGAAAAAAAGGAAAGGATAGTATAGAAAAGGAAAATGGTAATGAATACACATTTCAGTTATTCAGTTGTTCTAAGGAATTAGTTTTGAGCCATTTAGTCTTCTCATTTCTCCTATGGTAGAGCAGCAGCTGAAACTAAGAAAATAAGAAAAATGACAATGGATGAAGCATTTTAGTAACATAATAATGGAAATTATACATCATCTCTACAGGATGCATGGGAGAGAATAAGCAGTTGCCTGTACTGGAATCTTTTTTGGCCCAGTATCCTTCGATCAGATAGTTTGTATCTTTGATTACAGTGTTTTTCTAGTTAGTCGAATTGCTAGTAGAATTACTGAGTGCAGTCTTTTACTTGATCAAAGTTTAGGTATTTCAGTCCCAAAATAGTTTAAAAATTGCTCCACAGAGCAACATGAAACCTTTATTCTATACATGGAAGAGGGTTTCCTTGTGCAGATGGATTTTAATACATTAGGAAGCATCCTATTTACTGAGTTAACTGCGCCTCTGATCTCTCTGTGGCTTTGCTGAAGGTTTCGTTTTAGGAATCCATCTTTGCATCCCTCCAGAAGAGAAGTTCAGAGTGGATCACAGAAGTCTTCAGATAACCACCTTTGCCATCCTGAACTATGTTGAACATCTTTGCCTCTCTTTTTTTGAGGGACAATGTGAGATTTAGACAGTAGCTTTTTAGGTGTTCACTCATCTCGCGCAGAGTCTTCTATAGCACTATAGAAGGTATAGTTTTACACTTTCCTCTGCTGATCTGGTTCTCAATCACAGCTTCCTGTCAGTCCTTGGAAGAAGCATGGATGATCTGCTCTCTAGATTAGATGATTATTTTCATTCAGTTTCAGGACTCTGCTTTGCTAGGCCTCTTGAAATAGGACAGCCTAGTAATGTACGCTACATCCACAGAAGGCAGCATGAAAAGGACGGATGTCCCCGAAGATCGAACACTGGAAATGTTTCCCTGCCTTCCCATGGTCAGTTATTTATTTCTACAGAAGGCTCACCCATCAAACCAAGAATATTCAGCTATAAATATTCCTTCTGCACTTATCTGTTGCAGGGCATAGTATACAACCAAAGTGCCTGATCTTAAGAAGAATCAAACACCAACATTGTATGCTTGGGACTGGATCCAAGACTCTTGAAGTCACTGAAAAGATTGCTATCAAATTCAGTAGAGCAAGATTTTAGGGCTTCTTCCATCAGGACTTGGGTCCACTTAGGTTTAGCTGTATGTTTTGGAAATGGATTAAATATGATTTGTACTGCTTAGGCAGATACAAGGCAGGCAGCTATATTTTTATGTAGAGGAAAAAACAAACAAACAAAAAACAGGTTTCCCTGTACCTAGGGACTGAATGGGGCTCTTCCTCAATAGAAACCTCTGTTAATTAATAATTTCAAATGTGTGGTACCTATTTCTGCCTCTGCTTCCGTCAGAAGAATAACCTCCCAGGGAGGAATTTGAGGTCTATTGCTACTGCTCTTCTTTTTGAATATCCTCTGGGAGAGTTCTGTGCCAAACACTGTCAGAAAGCAGCAGGCAATTTTATAAGGTGCCCCCTTGGGTGTCCCTCTCTTCTCTGTGAAAAAGTCTTCACATATTTGGTTCTATCCAGTAATATTTGAAGCACTTGAAGCAAATGCAGGCACTGCATTTAGTTGTGTCAAGTTTTGTTATGTTCTACTAGAAAGCAGACATTTTTGTCATGAGGACAAGGCAGTGAATGAAAGACAGGATTGCATACTGCAGCCCCTAGGATTCTGAAACCACTGGGATTGCAGAAAACCAGATGTGGGTTTGTTATGTCTGTGGAAACAACGATCATGGGTGTAGTATTCGTCGGGGCTGGCCCAAAACAGTGTTAAGCTATTGAGCCTAAAGATGAAAACAAATTTGTGCTTATTACTATGTTAAAATTCAGAAGGAAAGTGTGAAAATGAGAAACCAGATTTTGAGTACATCTGATATCAGTGTCTGGTTGTGGCTGTGGCTCAGCCTTTCACTGTGGTGTCACTGTGGAGGCGGTGGGACTGGCCCACAGAAATCTGCCTCCCGAGCACTGTGTGGCGGGCTGGAGACTGGGGCCGTATTTAGCCATAGGAACCAAAATGTCAACTCCACATTGCTTTTCTTCCTGTGTTCTGCCTCTTGGAATCAAACTACAAAACTAATCAATGGCCTAGCCTGTTCTAGCCTGGCTTCCTTGACTGGGAAGCTCCCGGAGGACACATCTCTCGTCTAGTTTGAGGTAGATCTCCTTTGTTGATGTTCTGCTCTTCAGAATTTACTTCCTGGTACTTTCGTTACACTAGGAATAACATTTCAGGCTTTACACTAGATATAATTGTGATAATTTGTGGATCTTTCCTCAGTTTTTAAGAGCGAGGTATAAACCCCAAATGTAGCAGACTAGCACTTCCCCTTCCCTGAGATCTTCCTTTCCAATTTGTTATGGTAACTTTTTATCATGAGACGCATTCACGGTGCCCAGATCTTTGCTGTTTCCTTACTGCTGGCTCTCAGCTTTTCATATGACGTGGACCACTGTTTCCTGCATGTGGGAACCTGGATGAAGTGACTCAACCCCTCACGAGGGCCTAGGCCCAGGCTGGCCCTTGCTGCGCCGCAGGCACCATGGTGTCCAGGGAGGGCCAGGGCACACGCTTGGGGAGGACCTCTCCGAGCAGGTCCACACCTGGACTAGTGGGTGCTCCGGCAGCTGGGGCACACCATGGCCCTGGACGTCACACAGCTGCAGAGCCATAGCATGGCATGCTGCCAGTAGAGATGGCAGATTCTGCTTTTAGTTGTGTCCTCCCTCCTCGCTGAAACAGAAGAAAATTTCTGCTTTTTGGAAGTTATTTTTCTGTTTGCCCCCTTGTTTTGCTATTTCTCTAGTCACAGTTTTCAAATCAGAAATAAATTGATTGCAGCACTTCAGTGAATCTTTTGCTTCTCTTATGCTTCTTTTTGCAGATCGTGCAGTAGCTGAAATTGAGAAGAAGGTTATGGAAGCTTTTGAAGTGTTTGACCATGAATGCAATAAAACTGTGGATGTCAGGTTTGTAAATACCTTCCCACAGAAATGCTACAAGATCAAGTACAGACTAAAATAATACCTTAAACCTGGACTTGCTTTACTAGAAAATATAATTGAAACAGCCTTATGGCCCTGCTCAAACAATTTATTTTTGCTTGTTTAGTTAACTTTGTGTGTTGTTCATTGCTTGAAGGCTGAGACTGGCTTGAAAGAGGGATGTTGGGGCTGGTGAACTGAGACAAGGGACAAACAAAACTAGGCAAGTAGTCTAAGGCTGCAGTTACCACTAGCAAATACCTGCTCCAGGAGGTCATGTAGCGCTGCAGGTCTTGGGTCCCACGTGGATCCCCTTGCTGCCAGATTAATCCCAGCACATCAAGAAGTGCTTCTAGCAGCATGTGCCAGTTACCTCGAGGTGCTTTGAAGAAGGTGTCTGACTGTAATGCATCCCGTGGTGATAGGTGAGATGTTGTTCTGATGAGAATGTGTTTTTAGGCAGCTCCTGTTTCTACAGTGGGGAAGCCTGAAATAAACTTGTATACAATTTGATTATATAAGTAAGGACCAGCTCATAATGAACATAAGATGTTCATATTGATTGCATCAAAAGTCCATGTAGCCCCAAACCCTTCACCTGGGCTACTAATAGTTGCCTGAGGAAGAAATATAAAGAACTGAAGAAACAGAGAGTATTTCTCATTGTTTGTTGTAAATCTGCCACATAGTGATTTGAGTGACTTGATAGATAGTGAATAATTGTTCCCTCGTTCATCTTCTCCATGAATCCATTAATCATTTTATAGCTCTCTGCCATATCCCTTCTCCATCACAGTTGTTCCAGGCTCAAGACTCCTAATGTATAAATAGTCTCTTAAAAAAAAAGCCGTTATTGTCATCATTCCTTTTTTACGCTCTTTCTTGTTCATCTAGTTCCTCTTCAAAATGTAATGACCAGAAGTGAGGGAATGGGATGATCTTACGGGAGTCAAGAGGGAAAACTGCAAGCACTATTATACAATATTATGGAAATACAAAAAATATGTCTTAGGGAGTTAGAAAAAGTTCAGTGAAAGAGCTAAGATGGAAACATAAACAGTTAAGACTCACCAGGGGTATTGATTACCAGATACAGAGTCAAAGGAAGTCAAAATAAAACATTCACAAATAATTATAATTCTGGTTATTTCTACCAGAATGTAATACTTTGTTGCTTTAACATAAACATCCATACATCTAACAGTATATCTTTTTTGGTGTGTGTTTGTGTATATATGTGTGTATATATATATATGTATATAAAAACATGTTATGACTTACTGAGCAGGTTATGAATTTGTTGTCATTAAAGTTTACTTAAAGTAACTTTTCATATTTTCAGTTACTATTTTCAGAAGAACTTCTAGATCTTTTAATTGTAGTTCAATTTTTGAGCATAAACACTATGAAATTATGGTAAAATTATGTTTTCATAAAATATTCCTGGTGTTATATAATGAAGCCAAATAAAAAACCTCTTCAAATGTTCCAAGCTTCTTCTCTACATCAAAAAAAAAAAAAAAAAGCATGAGAGAGATGCAGACTCCTTAGGTTTTTTATAGACCAATGTCTCTAAATTTAAAAATATGGCAACTTCATTGATACAGAAAGAGGTTTCAGTTACACTAGATATGGGAAATGTCAGGCTGTGTCTCCACTCTCAGTAGAATTGCCTTTCTTTGTCTACAGGGGTCTTTGGGAAGTGCTCTTTCTTAAATTTTAGATGCCCAGAGAAAATCTGCATAATCCTTATTCTTTTTTAGCTAATCAATGGTTCTAAAATTAGGCAATAGTTCTAAAATCAGGCCTTTTTCTTTTTTTTGATATTTTTGTCTACTATGCCACGTCCCCCGGGGCAGTGCCAGCTCTCTTCCCCGTCCGTGGCCGCGCCCCCCCCCCCCCCCCCCCCCCCAGCCAGTGTCTGTGGGTCACTGCCCCACGGCAGCCGTGACAGCTTCAGCCCCACCATGTCCCGGCCCTGACCCACGGAGGGTCTGTCACCCTTGAGAGGCAGGGACAGGCCCTGGTTACGAGCCCTGTCCTGTCCCTGTGATGTTACTAGTTGTTTATTCAGTTGTCATCTACAGCTGTGGTCCAGGCAGACTGGCTATGAAATTTGCTACCCTCTCCACTCTGTGTGATGCCTAAAGTGCTGGAGAAAAAACAATGGCAACAATAAAATTGTATGAGTAAACATTTTTCTTTCCTTCTTTATTCATCTGGCCAGCCTTCAGCTGTGAGACAGAATGTCCAAAACTCTATTTAACATAAAAAAGGGGCTATTTCACACTATTTTTTAATCATAGAACAGTTGCTGACAATGAACAACAACATTCCCAGGTTCACATTGCAAAGTTGTGTTACATTAATGTGATTATTAATGGCTGATTATCTTGTATCAGAAGGTGGCAGCACAGCACAATTCTTAACCAAGACTGTAGAAGTAGGAATATGATTTCCTGAAATATCGGGTTCCTGGGAAGAATAGGGAAGATTGCTTTCAATAGCCATCCAACACCAATATTGTGTGACACCTAATGCAAATACAAATTAGTAAGAAATAAAGCATTGGGAAGAAGGTACTTTTCGATTCTGCTTGCAACATACCCTAAATTTTCATGATTTTGCAAATCCAGTTATGAAAAATAGTGTACCTTGGGTGAGAACCACAGCTCAAGAATTTTATTGCAAATGCATTATAAAACTTGTGTGAGCATAAACTCAGTTTAACTGTCACTTTCTTAACGCTAGAAACTAATCAGCAAAAGCTGGAGCAGCTGAGGTAACGGAGAGGAAGCGCCCAGAGGTCCTGTAAACCTCACATTATTACCACATGTGATTCTTTTTTTTAACAAGTGATGCCCAAAACAACATGCTCATACTGGCACTTGCACAGGTTGCAGAAGCAGCATCCAGCAGTGCCAGGGTTTGGGACACTGGAATAGGCACTAGGAATAGACGGTTTGGTTCTGTAACCACTGTATGTGTGAGGTTGTGTTTTGTTTTGTAACTATTTTTTGTGCAGTCTTTCCCTTGCTTTTGTCTATGGCAGTGCTTCCAACAATCAGAAGGGCAGCTCGACTTATCTAATTTTACCTGTGCTTGGTGTGTCATATTTGGAGTGTTACTGTTTTAAGATGGTTCTTTGAGAGGCCATTTCTCCTAGCTACCGTTTTTATTAGGCAATGTCGTTTTCCCTCAAATATACCTGCAAAGATGAGGTAGCCACAGAGGTCTGCTGTGGCAGCCAGCAATACCATGGATATTTATTCAACTGTACTTTAATTTTTGTGTTGTGGAATTGAAATAGAAATCATAAGAAATACTTGTGCTTCTATTAGCTTCTATTATCATGGCCTAACGCTTGCTAGCACTCTTTCTATAGCTTGTTTTGGTAGCTTTTTTTGCTTTTCCATATTTTTTTTTGCATTTGATAGTAGTTTGTGATGTATCTATCTGGGAAGTACAAATTCATTTAAGAAGTACTTAAGTTTTTCTCCATATTTTGCAAACTGTCAGAACTTACTCATAACAGTCAACCCATGACTTCAGATTCATACTGTGCCAGTCTCTAAGTTTGCAATTGCTCTTTCTTTCAGAGAGATTGGTTCAATTGTCAGGTCACTGGGTTGCTACCCGACTGAGGCACAGCTACATGAACTGATTGCAGAGGTAAATGCTTTAAACGTTTTTTCGTTTTCTCTTTTCCTTTCTTTCATTCTTTATTATTTTTTTTTATTCTCTCTTCTCTCTCTATCTTAAACTTTGGTGCTTTTGCATTGCTGTGCTGGAAACCTAAGCCCTTTTCCCAGAGGTTGGAAGCTTTGTGGAAGTGGTCCAGGCAGGCAGTCTCTTGGGTTGACCTGGAGCAAGCCTTTAGGCTGATACGGCAACAACGCTGTAGGTTGAAGTGAGGAGTCTTTGACTCTCTTTTACCCCAGAAGGTCACTGTGACACTTAAATGCTGCCAGAAGGAGCTGAAAGATTCTGGGGCTGGGAGGTGGTGGAAGGATTTTCTTGTTTTCCAGGATATGTCAGAATACTTGGGCTTGGGCCCTCTTACTCTTTTCTTCCTGTCTCCAGCAAAAACCTGGACTTTTGCATGCCTGCCTCTTCTTGGTAGGCTTGCATGGTCTCTTCTAGTTTAGTATTTAGTGTGAAATATCTTGTTCTAAATCTTGTAAAAATGACGCAGCTGCTTCAGACGAGGAAGTGCAAAGAACCATCAGAGGGGAAAGATCTGTTATCGTGATACTGCAATCTGTCTCCTCTGGTTCTGTACTCGCAGTACCAGATTGTCCCAGCTCCCTCTGACAAACAAGACGAAATAGGAAAGAGAAATTACAGTGCTTAATATAGATTATCTTTTTATTGGCCCACAATGATTGTGGCTTGCACTGAATGAACTCTACCACTGTCTCAGAATAAACAACTGAGAAAAAGAAGGGGATGCTTTGATTCCCCCATCCCTATCTCCAGATTGGGGTAACCAGCAGATGGGAGGTATTCCTCCTCTACCTCCCTGCAGAGAGATTAGATTTCTTTTATTTCAATTTCACTGAGAATTTGAGATACGTAATGTAATGAAGTACAACACAACGCACCTGTAAGGTGGAAGATTGTTGAGATACAAGGATATGACATGTATGCAATTGTTGTTTCTAAGGATACTAAAATAAGAAAAAATGCAGGAAGAAAGAATATATTCAAGAGTACTGGTTGACCTAAAAGACCACTAAATTCGAAGTTAAGTCTCAAAGGTTTTATTGTGTCTGTAAATGAAACTTCGTCATAGTTTTCAGTATGAGAAGAACACTATCTCTTTATTTATTATCTTAACCCATAATCCAAAATTATCTAAATACGTATAGGGTATCATTACTATTAATCATGGTACTGCCATTTTATTGTAATCTGAACAAAGTAAAGATTATATCTGTTGGCCAGTTGATAACAAAGTTATTTCTCCACTATCTGTGCCCGTGGTAAGCAGTGGTCCATTTCTGTCGCTCACGTCCTGTGTGTGTCATTCAGCCATCTTCCTGTTGCAGGAACAATTAGGTTGTAAAACCTAATTTTAGCTAAACCAACATATGTTGCTTGCAAGTTTTTTTTTTTTTTTTTGTAGCTGCCTAACTATCGTTTATATAATTGTTTTATCTCTGAAGTTATCATATACTGTTTCCTATATTGCCTCATATAGTTAGCCCTACTAAAAGAGTTGATATTAAATGCTGGGCCTAGAACAGGTGCGGGCTCATCTGAGGGTTGCTGCTGCTGCGCCACAGTCCTGCGGGGTCACTCTGGAAAGTGGTTTTGTTTCTTTGTCCCTCACTTTCCCAAACATTATGTGGACAATAATAACATGGTCGTGAGCAAAAAGAAACAAAGCAAAATGAGGTGCTGCTGTGCAGGTTTTATGGCTGTTGTGGATGTACCCAAAGGAAAAAAACAGAGCAAAATTTAGAGAGTTTGAACTAGCAAATGCTGTTAATGTAAAAGCTGCTATGAAAAGGGGCGGAATTACAGGCAAATTAAAACACCGTTGAGAAATGAGGTGACAGAACAAGAGTGAACATGAGGAAGAGGATATACTTGGAAATTTGAATACCCACTGACTTAGGCCTGATTAAAATATTCAGTGCACTCATATATCTTATCAAATTTTAGAAAGAGGATTAGTTTTAAAAGATCATAACATTGCTGGTTCTGTAGAGTCACTGAAATGGCAGCTCTTCTTTCCAGGTTATTGGGAGCTCAGGTTGCTTCTTGCCTCCTGGGACTATGTCCATTGCCAGGGAGGAAATGTTTCTTCTTCGCAGACTGTTTTCTGAATGCAAAATGCAAACAGCACACTAACAAAAAAAAGGGAGAAAGTTGGATATTTGCCAGTGAGAACTGACCGTTTGGCACGTACGGTGAGCTTTGAAGGTCACCTCTAATGAGTTCTTACAGTATGAAAACTAGGATGTCTTTCAACTGTTTGGATGAGCAGAGCTGATGTTTTTTGGCTCTTAAATGTGGTTTATGTAACTTATCATTTTTACAGATGCTTTGGGTCCTTTCTAGTTTCTAGTTATTCTGCCTCTGGTTATATTATATATAAGACATATCTATATATTACTTACAAATAGCTACCACATTTCTTTTTCTGTCTTTGTAGACTCTTGACCTACTACTAGTTGAAGCATAGATACTTCATAAAACAATCCTTCCAAGTGATTTATGATGCATGTAATAGTTCAGTGCACTGACTTACTGTTATAACATTGGAAAAAAATCAGGTTTTGCCAAGTATTTTATTACATCTTCTCAATAGGTTAAGCAGTAAAGCAAAAGATCCTGTAATGGTAAAAAGTACCATTTTACTTAGCAAGTATGCAAGAGATTCACTGCCTAGCTAAAGATGCCTTCTGCCAGGCTTAGCAAACAGAAGGGGAAAAGTATATTTTCAAGCCAATTTCCACTCTAAAGCAGCAAGAAGTGGTGGCTACCTGCTTCTGTCAACCAAAATCTTTGAGAGGCACTGGAGGAGTACGTGCAGGAGCAGCTCTTTATTTAGCAACGGGATAGAGCAGGCAGCTCCCGCGCAGCAGGTTTCTTACCTCAGTGTTTCCCTGGCTGAGATTTCAAGCTGGTGCCTCCTTGAGTCTTCCTTCAGCCTGGCCTGTCTCTGCAGAGGGCTCTGCAGGGTGTCGCTGCTGCTGCGTGGGGCTGCCAGCCGTGCATCCAGCCTGAACTCGGGCAGAAGCAGGCTGCCTCCTTCAAGGGCACTTATTTGGGGAATGGAACTTGATATTTTCAGTGAAGTAATATGCTGGTAAAGTTTTTGAGCATGTTTTTTGTCTCCTATGGAAGTATAGGCATGCCGTGAGGATGCTGCTAGAAGTCCCCAGTGCTTCTGTGCAGCCAGTTCCCTTTTAGTCTGTTTAGGAGGCAAGATGAAGCTTTTCTTTGTGTAGCGTTTTATGGGCTGCCTTGTGGATGTCTCGGACTGCTCTGTCTCAGTTTGTCTGCCTGTTTGGTCCTTCCCTTGACAACCCTATCTGGCTATGAAACATGTGGAGGCAACAGATTCCGTCCTAGGGGTATACGAGGCTGGGGCTATGTCCAAACTAGCATATTAAATGTGCCCAGAAACATCCTTGGGTGTTGATGCCAGCTGGCACAGAGCAGCCCATGGTAAATGTTTCCTCCAGACTGTCTGCTGGGGGAGGTCCTGAAGTCCGAGCGCCCAAGCTGGGCCTGGCAACCACGGGAGAGCGTTAGTTAGTGCCAAAATCCTGACGGGGAACATGCTGCTGGGGTGCTGTTGTGGGTGATCACGTTGCGCTGCCTGGGGATGTTCCAGCGCGTGCTAGATGGTACTAGCTGGATGCCATCTGCTTGTTCTATGGAGTTCCTGTGGAAGGTGAGCGGTTGCTGTGTCCGAGGCTTTGGGATGAATGGTTTCTGACCACAAGAGGGCAATGTTGAGTTGTAGAAAGATTTTATTGCAGCCAGCCTGTGTTTTGCCTGGGGTATAATTTCATTTCCTTCTATTTGATCAGAAGCATTGCACACCGATGTTTTGTAGCTGCGTGATGTTAAGAACCATATATAAATATTCAAATTCCAATTGTAATTTTAATGCAGAAGCCATTCACTTTTTCTGTTTTTGCTATTAGTTTGCTAATGAGCCATCTAACCTACCATCCTTAAGTTTTATTTTTAGGTAGAAGAAGAAGAACCAACTGGATATATTCATTTGCAAAAATTTCTTCCAGTGATGACAAGAGTACTAGTTGAAAAAAGGTATGGAAAGTGGATTTTTTTCCATACTGACAGGACTAATACTGAAAATGTATAAGAACAGTATATAAAAAGTGTATGATTATATAATAAGAACAATAGTTTTATGTATCTGGAAGAAGTATACATCTTTGTTTTAACTCAGTTTACCTAAGATTGTTAGTGAGGCTAGAGTTCAAAGTGATTTAGTCTACATAAAATTATATTCAGGTGACAGTATAAGTGATACCAGCTTATAATCATGAATTGTGATGTGTCATTTCTGTATTTTTAATGTGAATCAGAATTAACTTGCTATTCAGCATGTTCTGTGCATCGCTGAAAAATATTTTATATGCAAATTGAGGTCATAACCACTGCTTTTTCTGTACATATGAATTCCAGTTACTGAGAAGGGCAGTCTGTTACAGTGTATTTTTTTATAAGTTGTATAAATCAGCTTCATATTTGTGTCTGAAAAGCAACTGCCAGGTCCGACTGAATGTACAATTAGCAGTCTAAAAGACTGCTGATATAAAAGAGCTGCTGGTCTAGAAGTCTCGGCATTATTCAGAGACACCCTGAAATCTTTGCATGTGTACAGGACCTTGTGATATTCTACAGTAAAAGCAGTATTACCCATTGGGAATTTATCTTGCTTTTTAAAGATGGCGACCCAGGGTTTTGGAAAACTCAGTTTTGTCCAACCCTGGTAAGTTATTTAGCTTAGTAAGTTATTTAGCTGTTCAAAAGTCCAGCTGGCCTCAGTAGGAGGCTGCTACATGGGATGTAACTGTGCGGTTGCCTGAAAGTTCATCGTTGGCTTCAGGCTGTGGGCACAACTTAGGGCTGCTTTTGAGGTTCTTCGCTTTGCTCTCTGGACCCCGAGCAGCCCGTGGGGTTCGGTCCCCGGGTGCAGGAGCGGGTGCCTTGCCTTCCCGGGCTCCAACACCCTCCCCTTCTCTGGCCTTTCTGGCACATTCCCTGCTCCACACTGATGTTCGCCCCTTCACAAAGTGATATGTTGCTGCTCCGGGCTCTCTCCTCCCCTTATATCTGCCCATCTGCCCAAGCACACACACACTTTCTTCAGGCTACTGTAAGCATGTCGGAACCCACTTTATCTTTTAGGGCATTATGTCTATAGTTATTTATCCAAGGGCACATGAGATCTGGATCACAGAAAAACATGGAGTCTTTCTAGCGCATGTGATCTTGAGATAGCGAAGGAGTGAGGCAGGTCTGGACAAAACAACCAAGCATTTTGAACCTCTTGGCCTCAGTATCTTCAGTTCTCATTATTATTTTGGGGATATGGTGAAAGTCTGCTGAGATATGGAGGGTCTCCACTGCTATACATGGCTCCCTTTTCCAGCTGTGGAATGAGTCACACGTGTGCGCGCTCTGCCTTCTCCCTGAAATCATTAGTGACAGACCTTTTCCTTTAGAGCTACCAACCTCTTTTGCTCACCATCAGCTCATTAGACCTTCAAAGTCCCATTAGATGATTTGCTGCTTAATTACCAGCCTACCTGGACAAAACTTTGTTTTCTTGGTTTGGCCATCTTCCCCCGTTTAGGATATTGGCTTCATGGAGTGATTCAGGCAGTATTGATTCTTACTAATCCACTCAGCCAGCCCAGACATGTAGAAGCCATTCACCTGGCTCTCGAGCGCAAGGAAAATGAAGCAGGAACATAACGAAAGACCCCAGAAGTAAAGATATGGACAGTTCAAAAAGTCAAGCTGGCATTAAATGTTAGACAAACTTACTAAATTCTCATAGAAAGTAGATTTTTTTTCTTTTAATGCTTGTGTTTTAGCCTTTCAAAATAGTGGAGTAGCCTTGGAAACAGTGACATTAATTTTTCTGATTCAATGGTTTCAGCTACCAGCCTACTCCAGAAGATGTTCTTCTACATGCATTTGAGGTCTGTAATTAAAAGATTGAACCACTTAATTGCTGAAAAGAATTTGCTGATTCTTGATTCTGTATTGTAAAAACCACAAGTTTTATTTCTTCTTTTTTTTTCCTTCTTTTTTTTAAGGCTTTAGATGTGAATAAATGTGGATATCTTACCAAAGAGGAGCTGGTAAAATATATGACTGAAGAAGGTAACATGCTGACTAATTATTCTTGTAATATCGGTACTTAAGAAAATAAACACTGTATGTGTATATGACACCTGGAGGCCCTGATTCTGCATGCCAAAACTTGCAGTAGTAGATTTGCTGTCTTCACACAATTCTGTTCTCTCAATGAGTGGCTGCAAACTAAAACGTTCATTGGTGAATAATGCAGGGAAAGGACATTGCCTGTCCTTTTGCAGGTACCTTCAGATAGAGCTTGCTATTATGGAGAATCATAATTCAGTCTTGTGTGGATACTCTATGCTTCTGTGTATATCTTTGTTTTTCCTAAGGATGTGACTCTTTTTCCTTCCTCGTGTAATCTTGTATTTTGGATTTCCAAATGTTTCAGCTAGTTTCAGTGCTCATTCATTCCTGCATTATCTTGATCTTAGTTCTGGTGCTCTACTCCAACCAAGAGATTCAAAGACCAGATTTAAGCTGTATATCATGTAATCCCTAGTGCTCCTTGAAGAGCCTGCTTTTCTTGCATGGCTGACTTGTGCATGCCTGCCTGAAGTACCAAAGGGCACTCATGTTTTGCACAAGACTTTCCAAGACTTGTCTTCAGATTGGGACTATATTCTCAAAGAAGGATGCAGTAGGCCAGCAGCAGCTTGGAAGCTCCTAAAAGGGAAGAAGCAGCAGCCTTTCATGATGTAAATAGGAAAATGAGAGAAAGTAGTGCTAATGTGGCCATTGTCAGAATCCATTGTCATCAAAGAAAAAAGTGGGAGGGCAATTCCTGTTGCAGTTTTGGGGGTTTCTGATCTGAATGGAGATAGGAAGATCTGGGCTCTCAGTCTCCTGTAGGCCAGTTGGCTTGGCATGTGGGACTTATACTTGTGAAAGTAAAAGAATTAGATTCTTGGTATTGCTCATTTTCTCCTCTGTCTTGGGACTGAAAGGAAATCCTTGCAAGGGAAGAGCAAGGGCAATTTGCCAACCCTGAAAGAATATACATTAAAGTAAAATGTTGCTGTCTGTTCTCTTTCAGGTGAGCCCTTTACTCAGGAAGAAATGGAGGACATGCTCTCTGCTGCTCTAGATCCAGAAACAAATACTATGCGCTACAAAGACTACATTACATTGATGATAGTAGATGATGCTTAAGAACTTCCCTTACAGAATCTGACTTGCTTTTAGTAACAGCAGTGTAGCTTGACAATTACTTGAAATATGTGTAGCGTAGCAGAGCAAGGCTCAGCTTGTGACCTTGTGCTTATAATTAAAATAAAATCTGTGTAGCTATATTTCCTTGGGATCTGCATATGTATTGAAATATATTCACACCTGGAAAAAGAGCTCTTGACAAATATTATGTAAGGGCTGGAAAAGAAATCATGGTATTTGATTTGAAAAATAAGAGGAAAATAATGTTAAGAGAGACAAAAATTACTCTGCAATTATATTTGAAAAACTAATGGAAAAATGAGACCTGTGAAAGCAGGAAATAAGTTGGTAAGTGAGACCTCATTAACTGGCGAAGTCTAGGGAAAGCTGATGCATAGAGGCATGAAGGGCCTTACCCGATCTCATATGCTTCTAGTGGCAGAGCTGAGAAGAGACCACAGGGATTCTGATGTCAGGTCTTTTGTTCTTATTTGTTTCACTTCTGGATGAGCTGGAAACTCAGAGGAGGTGTTTTAACACAAATCTGCATGAGAGCTGCTTGCTGTACTTTACAAAGAAGGGATTAACACAATATTTAAACATAGTGACAGAAGCAATCTGGAAGAGACCTGTTCTTTTTTATTCTTTTTCTACCCTAGTAATCCAAGTTGTTTTTCACTGGCACTTCCCTAAACAGTAGCACAGCAAAGGGTTAATGTAGGTAAGCAACATCTGCCTAAGTTTAAGCTGGGTTTCCATCTGGGAGCCACAGTTGCTCTGTTTGTAAAACTCTGCTATCCATCTTGTTAACACATTTACTGTATGTTTCATTTCTTTGTCAGTGATAATGGAAAAGAACACAGGTAATCATTAATCTTGCAATATGTTGAGGGTCCAGATTTTTTGAAGCAACAAAGACCCATTAAGAAAAGATTTTTATTTGTTATTAGTCTTCTTTAGACTGTGTTTGGAAGCTGAAATTACAGTTAACTTTCCCTATGATATACAGTGGGTTACTGGATGTTTAACACAGCAGGTGCGAATACAAGTCTCCTACATGTTCTGCAGTCTGGGAGATACTGTCAGCCTCATGTTGGCTGTCGGCAGTAGGATGCTCATTTCAGGAGATTATTTCTTAGCTCAAGAGGGACCACTGTTTGGGTCAGTGGTGAAGTGACCCCAGGGGCCTGACTCAGCTACTGCTGTCGGATCAGAATGCCCATGTACTCCACAGTTGCCATTTACAGTGGAGATAGGCTCTTAATGTATATTGGTTGACATATTTATCCTACAGTCCTCAAATGCAAGGGAAGAAAGTACCCTGGTAAGTAAAAAGTGGGATTCCTGCTGGAGCCAGCACACATCAAATTCTGCAGATCCCATCATCTTACATCTCTCCTGAGAAGACTATGTGCAGATATGACAGATAAAAAGCAAGTTGCACACTTCACTTTGGGTGTAAGCAAATTCATAAGCTTAGAGTTTTCCGTATTAGGACTGGAGGAGGTGTCAAAAAACACTCAGATTTTGTAGGTTCTCCAAAGTTGAGTGCTCCCTGCCTGCTAGGTTCGCATAGTCCGATGTGCTTGTGAAGGAGCTGCCTCGTGTCGCCCCTGGAAAGCTACAGAGGAGCGCAGCACTCAACTGTATTATTTTCTGCCCCCTGCCTTTCAGGACTTAGCAATATGTGCAGTGCCTGCTCTGCTGCCTGTTGTGTTGTGGGCTGTGTGTGAGGACTCTTGTATCTCGCTGGAGTGGGCTCCGAGCTCCCCGAGTCTCTGTGCTCTTTGGGGGTGAGCAGAAGAGAGGGCCCATGCCCCAAGGAAGGGTTTCCAATCGAGGCAGCTGGTGACACAGGGACCCCTCCTCCCCAAGGCCTCTGGTCATGTTCTGAAGCTGGGCCTCTGCCAGGCAAAGGCAGCTGGGAAGGTGAGGAGGCTTAATGAGGAGAAAGAAGGGGCTCTACTCCCATCCCAATTCTGAAATGCCACTGAACATTCCCAAGCAGGAGCTTTAGGGAGCCATTTTATTGTCACTAAAATGTATATATTTGTTTTCAAATTTGAATACAAACATACCTTATTTTGACCTCGTCTATGAGGTGGACACATTGAATTTCAGCTATGCTGCTTCCAGTCTTGAGCTCTCTTTCTGCCTGCCTCTCCTTGCTGGCTGTTTTGACTCTTCGCTCAAGATCAGGAACCAAGATAAGTGAATGGATTGCACCAGGGAGCCTCTAGGGAGAAGCCAGCCTTGCCCCTGGAATCAATCCACATGGGGAAGCAGAGCCAAGGCTTTGAAGAAGCTGGGGAAGTTAGAGGGGTATTGACCTAGTTGAAGGAGAGAGAGGGAAGGGAACTCATTAGCCAAACATTAAAAAGAGAGGGAAAAAATCAAAGAAACTTTGAAAACTGTCTACAAATACAACTGAATCAGCAGGTTGTTTACATCACTGCTGCAAGTTGTAGACTAGACAAGACTTTACTTGTTTAAAACATCAACTAGCTTCAGTTGTGTCAGGCGGTATCTGGTATACAGTGGAGACTTCTTCCTCTGTCTACTGGTACTGTGGAGACATTCTTCCAGCTGCCGCACTCACTTTTGAGACTCTGCTTACTCATACTGCAGATAGTTTTTTGTTCCTTACCTTTTCCTCATCAGCTTTGGAACATGCTTTTCCAAAACATGTTTCCGTCTACTAGTGGTAGTCCCATATATATTCATACTTAAAGGCTTGAACATTTCCCCTTGCAGTACATGCCAGCATGTTATTTGAAGCTCTTTCAGACTCTGCACTGGTCTTGGGTAGAAATAAAAGTTGCGTGACTTTTATTCAGTAATTCAGTAATTGTGACTTTTGCTGGTGACTTCAGTGCTGCAAAGATAAAATTGATAAAAGATAAAATTGGTCAACAAAAAACATTATGAAATTCAGCAAAAGCAAATGTGAAGTCCTGCCCTTGGGGAGGAAGCGCAACAATACAGGGTGGGGTCTGACTGCTGATGGGCAACTCCATGGAGGAGGACCTGGGATGGTTTCGAGCAGGGAGCTGAGCGTAAGTCCACAGTGTACCCTGACAGCAAGAAGTCCAGTGACATCCTGGGCCACACTAACAGGAGGAGCAGGGGCAGCAGATTGAGAGAAGTGATTATCCACTCATTACTTGTTAGACCACATCTGTGTACTGTATCCAGTTTTGGGCCCCCCAGTATAATGTATGGATGAACTGGAGGAAGCTCAGTAGAGATCCACCAGTATAGCTGGGGCTGAAGCATTTGCTCTGTGAGGAAAGGCTGGGGGAGCTGGGCTTGATCAGCCTGGAGATGAGAGAGCTTGGTGGGGGGAGGTAGCAGCGGCCCCCTGGTACCTACGAGGAGATTATCAAGAAGGTTGACTCAGGCTCTTCACCGCACTGAATGGGTGGGTAGTTATTCATCACTGGGTTTAGATTTACTATTGCTGAAATGAACACCAGCAAAACTCGTCACTCATAAGGAGAAGGATGTAGGCCTTTGGTTTCAAGATGGAAGGAGATGGTGAATCCTGGAGTCAATCCAAGGTTGGGACTGGAATGGGAGGCTGTAAAGTCCTGTAATACACTGTTGTCATGTGGAAAAGGTGTGGGCATAGTCTCAACATTAAAGACACCTTGTCGGCAGTCAGATTTCATTCTAGACTTTGAGAAGTGTTGGGTAAGTCATATAATATCTCCCCAGCTGAGCTTTCTGTCTATAGAGTCAGAGTAAGTACAGAGAATAGGAGAGAGGGAGTATCTATCTTATCTATCTATCTGGCCTGTTGACTTTTTAAATCACTACCTCTGATGTTTGCACAGTGTCTGGTACCATGATGTTCTGATCAAAATCACCACCTACGGGCCTCCCTGTCACATAATTAATAAATCTTCTCAGCCTTCAAGTCCTTCATTTGAGGCTGTACATTCAGGTCACCACTTTTAAACAGGTCAGTCTAGAGCAAATGCATTTGTTTTCATTGAACAAAACTGTTTCTGTCACAGTGTCTCATGCTGTTGTAGGCTTGACTGTCCAGGTAACTGTTGAACCATTTAGTCTTATTGTTGGACCTTTTTTTAGGACATATCACATGGATGTTACTATAGGCAAGGGGACTCTGCTGGTTTAGAAGCTAAATAAAGATGTAGCTTGAAACAAAACAGATTCTCCTGTTTAACCCAATTTGGATCCCTGGGGCTACTATTGGCTTAGTATGGTTCTGAAAGCCAAGAAAATGTTATTCATTATGCTCAGAAGATTGACCACAGCATTTATATCCTGAGGTCCAAACCCTGAAGTCTTATTCAGACAGAACTCCCATTGACTTGAAAGGAAATTCTGTCTGCAGAAGAATTTCAGAAATAGTGATGTACTGGCTCACAAGGTGCTGTAAAAACCTTTTGGTCTCTTTAAAAGAACTGTCGTTTGTGGAAGATCTGAGGTGTACGACCAGAAAGTGATTTGTGCCATTGAAATGGCCAGAAAGGTAAAGCCATGGGAGTAGGTTGTTAATCTTGTCCATACAAATGCAAGCAAGCAAGAGTCAACAAGAATATGCAGACAGAACTTTTCCATATTGTTCAAACACGGCCCCAACAGTAAATCCGGGAATGCTGCAGCTTGGAGGCTTGCAATTACCACTTCCTGCTATTATCCTGGAAATATTGCAGCCTTAAAACACAGATGTTACTTCTATGATTTCACATATTAAAACAATTCCTTTTATTTGGACTCCAATTATTCCTCTTAGAAGCCCTTTTCTAAAAGATTCTCCTGTTCTAAATACCCGCTTAAAGTGATAGCACAAAAGGAAATGTTTTGAAATAGGATGCTTTCAGGTAGAGGAAAGCATTGGGATATTTCCTGTCAACATTGGCCTTTCCCGCCAAGGCAGCAGCATCCTCCAGTGCAGAATGGCCTTTTGCTAGAGACTAGCCTCATCATTAAAATAATTTAAATATAATTCTTATGGAGGTTTTATGGAG